GTTATCTTTAAGAGATAAGGTTATCTATTTATGTAAACACTGCCACACAAGACATCTGAGTGCAAGTCGCGAAAGAAACTTTTGGGACAGCCTAATACATGTGTATCCAAACTCGCAGGCAACATGCGTACGCGAAGAAAGGTGCGCTGTTTCTCGATTCACCTTTTTTCTCAGCCCGTTGGCAAGCATCTGGAGGAATGAAATCGGCATTACGCATTCCGTGTTATCGTCCCGAAACGCGGAAGGAGCACGCGGTTTACAGCTGCGCGAGTTTCCTCGTGGCGGAATAGAGCGTGCGGCGCGTTCAAATAATAAACACGGGTATAACAAATTGATAATCCGGAACCCCATAATCGTACGCATATTTCGGCCCCGGAATCTGTGGCCCGACACTAAAAGAAGTTTCCACGCTCGTTGTTGCGCCAAATGGGCCGCTATAAAAGCGTGGGGTTCCTGCCACCCCTCTTCCTTTCTGATTCCGTTCACCCTCTCCTCTTCTCTTCGATGCTATATCCGTCGAACCGCAGCTTTCAAGGTTGTCGCACGGGTAAAAGTGTCTAGGAAATAAGTTCGTATTTTTCCCATTGTCCTGACTTTACTTCAGTGGCTGAAGTTACGCGCGCGTTCGATCAGGGATGATGAAGATGTTTGTCTCGCAGGTTCGATGAATCCGAGGGTGTTCACACGCGATTCGAGTCGTTTGTAGAAGTCTGCACGAAGAACATGGTGTTTTGTAAGATTTGAATAATAATTTTAGCATCTTTATCTAAGGGTTGATATCTTTTTAATAATATCAGTGTTTCGTCGCCTAAAGAAAAATCTAAATCATGCGACAAACCGGCTATCTAACTATAATTTGGACTATATATTAATACGTTGAATTTCACACATGACGTTAGTGAAACGCAAGCATATTTTCCGGCCTCGTAGTGCAGTGAAGCAATTGGTATTCTCGTATAACTCGACGTCGAGTTTCTAAACTTTTACCGAGACGTGCTAATTTCGCACAGGTCTGAACAAAAATTTCGAATCCCTTTATCAACAAATGAGATCAGCTGAAAGACAGTTGCGATTGCGATATCGCGTTCTTTCTCCCCTCAAAGAAATTTCTCGATTCGTACAGCATTACACAAGAACCGATAAGGGGGGGCTCACAAGGATTTACGTCGGAGAATTGAACTATCCTTCGATTTTATGACCGAACCAGTTCCCTTGCTTTGGTTTTCGGCAACTCAGCCACCCACGATGCCTCGAATTTTAGAAAAAAAGTTCCAACGACAAAGACGCGAATCTCTGCCTCAACGTGGCAGCGTCAGACAGCGATACTCTACGAAACCAATTAATGAAATTCAGCCAGATTGGATGTAGTCTCGTTTCTCCTAACATCTTGGAATAAACTGGGGCGCACCTTTCATCGCGAACGTTCAGAAATTCGAACATCTCTTTCTTCGAGCGTGTACTTTACTCTCCGTTAAATACGTTCCCGGTGATATCATAGACTTAAGAACCACCCCCTGCTCTTCGTCCTTTCTTTCTTTTCGTCCCTTCGACGAGCAAATGCCGGCGGCTTCTGAGGACCTCGCCGGCTGGGATTTCCTAGGAGAGTTATCTCTAATTCGCCGCGGATTTACTTGCCAATGAATCTTTAAATTAGATGCTCCTTTCTCCGGGACCGAGCTCTCTTTCCCTAGGGTAGAGTCCTAATCGTTCAATCACCTTTATCAAGAGATCGACGGCAGTCTGGCCTTTTTCTCGTCAGGCTGCTTCGACGTCGTACAGTTCCAGTGAGTTTGCTCTATATACAGTGAGGAGTGAAACTGAACCAATCACAGTAGGTTTTACGAGAAATATATATTACTGAAATAATTCTCAAATGTTATAAAATAGTGTAAATTTCCTGAGACTGTAAGAAAATCATGAACAACGCTATTTTATTTTTGTTATGATTTATTTCAATAAGAATAAATATATGTCGTAAAAAATGTTGTGATTGGTTCGATTTTGACTTGTTCACCCGTACGACTATAATAACGTTACCTATTCACATTTTACTAAATTCCAAGTTCACTCGAGGAGCACCGTTCCTAACGAGAGTCCCCCTTTAAGATTCATCCGAGAATTTCAATTAGCAGAGTTTCAACCAGGCCCTTGACGAATCCTTCGAAGACGCGGCACGTCATCTTCGGGCGGATTTGCAAGACGACCCTCGGCATCCCCGTAATCGTAACGTGCGATCGTGCGTCACCGTGCTCGCATTAAATTCCAATCTGTAACGTCAACGTGTCCTCGCCGCGGTGTGTTCCAGCGTCCCGGCCCTCGAGAAAGGGGAACGACGTCTGATTAGTTCGATTTGGGAAGGACGGGGGAGCGTCGGTTTGCTTGGTAATTCTTGCTGGATAGCGCAAAAAAAGCCGACGAATCCATGAGTGTTTTTCGCGACGGGTTGTTCGAGGCGTCTCATCAGTCACGTCGCCAGCTAGCTAACCGGAGGCGCCAGCTCAGAAGACTCCTCCAAAACGCCGATGTGTCAATTAATCCCTGCATCCCTTGGGATAGGACTAGGCAAGAGGCTGGATTATCATCGTCCTCCTTGCTATCTCCTTCCTCGGGCTTTCACCCTCCTTGGGTGGAACCACAGGAGGACGTAATCTTCCTCCTGACGACGGAGACTCTTTACAGGGTCTTCGCGTGGCTCGTCCCTCTACCAATTAACATCGCGTCCATACCGCGGACGCTTGTGCAATTATGCGTCGTTGTAGAGCAGGGATATACAAGCTTTAAAAAATGTGGGAAATCGTATTATCGCGAGCAACCTTCCCCCCTCATCTTTTTCAGCCTAACCCTCTCGAGCTTCCGAATCAGAAAACTTTCCGTTTCAGACGGAGTCCACGGGTCATCTATGCGGGGATGAACGGTGGCACGATAAGGGACACCGCGTCGGGGTTAAAGGCAAAACGCGGACAGAGAGAGGGCCGAGAGGACTCTGGAGCATCGGTGCCAGCAGGCCGTGTGAGTTATGGGCGTCCCGACGCTCTCTCCCATTGGCCGTGGGCTCAATTTACAGATGATTCCGCGTGTTACCGCCTGGCCAACGGCTGGTTAACCTTCCTGCCAAACACTTAATCTTCCGACGTGTCCCGCGACCGGCCCGCCGCGACTTTCCAGATAACAGGTCGGTGGCTCCGAACCACGGATAAATGGAAAGAGGCGCGTTGGCTACCGTTGTAGGACGCTGGCGGCCCTAGTGGCCCATAAACTTGCCCACCCTTCCGATCGTATTGCCACCCACGAGCAGCGTACATGCGACCTTCTGTCGCTGGAGCGTGCCATGGACCTCTCGGCCAGATTTATTGGTCCTCGATGGGCCGACAATAGCCAACAAGTTGCTGGAAAACGATCGACGTTCTACTCCGCCTCCTACGTACCCATCGTTTCCGCGATTTCCTGAATGACTGGAATCTTCACGGTCGAACATGCGAGTCAGGGTCAGATTTTACGAGCAAAATGTCTTCTCACATCTTACTTTCTTATACAAATGCACTTTTCCGCTTTTTTTAAGGTGTAGACTATTTACATATTCTTTTCCCGTGTAACACAAGCTCATATTTGTTATATATGTATAGATCTTAATACATGTACCATATTTTGATTCGATTTTTTGTGAAACCTTGAAGGAATCACATACTTTTACAAATTTTACGTTTCTATAAGTTTATCCCGAGCAGTCACTAATAAAGTTTACCTGGTCTTACGATGTCTCCTCAGAAGAGACATCTGAGCGCAAACGGTTAAATGTGAGTACTGCGAGTGGGTCGCGAACTCGAATTTTTTTTCTAAAATTTCTTGCGTATTATGTATTATGCGTTACTTTAAAAGTTACGAAAAATACGGTGGTTGTCTCACGCGGAGCTACTCGAAGTTTAATTAACTTCGAGAAGACTTATCTTTGCCTTGAATTGCAGAAGTGACGTGAATGCATTGTACTTCGCGTATCTAGACGATCTTTTAGCTGCCTTGGAAGTATATTAAACAGAATAGCAGGAAGAATGTTGCAATGTTCCCGACGAAAAAAGACGATAAGTGATTCTACACTGCTGCGATGAGTTTTTGAGATCTACGCTGGGTCATACAACACATCAGTCTAATAAACTGAAAATCAGAATGGTCGATTAATTATTCTCCGTATGTTCACTCTATTCATATCATGTTTCCATGATTCGAATGACACGGCGTTGGATGTATCAATATTCTCTTTTTAATATTCGAATAATTATTAGTAATCGTTCGCAGAGGTGATCCACCGTTTCTTCTCAGTAATAAGTCATCGTATGATCGTTGATGATTCGTGATTATCGCTTCTCGCAGCGAATTTGCTGAACGAGTTGGGCCCCTCGAGCAAATAAATCAAAATGAACTGTACGTCACGTATTAAGTCATTAATGTAATTCGATTAGCCTCTGATGCCATGGTCGGTTTCGATATACAATTTGGTATTCCAGTAAAGATGTTGGAATTAATGAAGTGCCACGTATTAATGCACAGATCGTTGTTTGATCAGCACTCCGCTTTATTATTTCCGATGTAGATCCTGATACTTTGCTCTGCGCATTAGGGTTAGCTGGTTATATCAAATTACTTCGGTCATTTAATTAGCGGTCAACGTTGCGTTCGTTTCACGGTGCAAGATACTAAAGGACGATTGCCTTGTACAACACTTTTGACTAGAGCATCGCGCAATTTGATTAATTACCAGAGCCATATAATGACATCGAGTCAATGATTATAGCTTGTACTATCAATGCTCAGACGTAACGCGATACTAGCGTTGCTAGCTGTATTTCCGGTTATGTAATGTCTTCACAGGAAATTGCACTGGTCACCAAAAGAAACGGAAATATTCCTCACGCTTGCTTACTTTCCACGCTATTTTTCTTCTTTAAAATTCGATAATTTTATAATTCGCTGATAATAAATAGGAATCCTTTCGCATTTTGTTTCAGATCTGCTAATAACCCTCTGAGGCTATAGCACGCGAATATGCAGCTACAGTACGGAGTTTGCGATCCCGAGGTACCCGAGCCGTAAGGGGGCTAGCAGGTCCCCACAGATATGAGAGTTAGAAGATACTGCAAACAGTATTAAAACAATGTAAGAGTCATGTCAGACAAAATTATGATAAGAAGAATGAAACTATGCCTGTATAGTTAATTACTTGAAATAAATACAAGACGCGAGATCTGCTAATAGACTCATCGATAAAACCTCGCAGATCATTTCCAATGAAACGATCAATCTCAATAAAAAACCGATCAGCCGAGGACGAAGAAATTCGCATTGTCCCGAATACTCCCGAGAAAGGAGTCATTAAACGAAACAGCTACCGCAAACGACGCCGTGTCCTAATGACCAAAATCAAACACGACACCCACAGACGTTTCCAGAAGCCTAATCGAAACCTCGAACCAGAACGAATCGCCCGATGGTTTCCTGGCCACGACGAAGACACCGGGTAGCTGGATTGCCCGTGGTCGAGAAAGGGAAACGCGAGGCACAGCGATTCATCCCCTGGAAGACAATAATTCATCCTCATTGAAAGGGTTTCAGAGGGCCCGCATGTGTTGGCCATCGGTCTATCGATTGTCCAAGCTTCACGGCGGTCCAAGTGCGCCCGTTCGACGAAGGACGATACATCATAATTTGCTGGCGAAATGTTTACGAATGCTGGGGAAACGCGTGGTTTTCGCACGTGACGAACTCCAGATGCTCACGGTCCCTGGCTCCCAAAGGAAAAGGAGTGGCTGCGTACTGTCATTAGCCGACGGACATTGGCCACCCCGTGGCGAGCCACAATGTGTCGCTGAACAGCCGATACGTGTCTAGCCACTGGCTTAACTAATGCTTATAAACGGACGCGTCGAGTCAGTCCTGAGAGCTAGCGTTAATTGACGCGGTGCGTTTCTCGTCTCCACCCCCGCGGTGAGGTCGTTTGGACCGAAGGAGTTTTTGGTTTGTGCTGAAGTCTATATTCATTCATGACGAGAATAGGTAAAGACAAATTTTTCTTAATTAGGACCCTCTCTTAAGGGTTCTAAAGTGTACTCATTATCAGGGAAGATGAGTTCGAGAAATAGCTTTGACAATCTGACGCAGAAGACTAACTAGCAATGATATTGGTTTAAATTTAATTTCTTCCGAATTCGAAGTGCCAATCAAATAATTGTCGAGCTCTCAAATTAAAGATCTCGCCTTCGAAGTTTAAGCTCAGCATTCGTGGCAGTAGAATGCTAAGAAAGCATTTCGAGTTATTGGTAGATACCAGTATCCAGTGTCCAGCGATAGAGTACCAATCGCACACCAAAGATAGGTCTCGCTAAATTTTCAAATCCCCCTCATCTACGTTTTCCTCGTCCCTAATCGATGAATCGAAGTACTCCAAAGCTGTCTTACCTTGTTGGTTGCTCTTCCTTGTGGTCTTCTTTTCCTTCATCCAGGGATACTCGGGCACGTTGACGGACGGATCGGCGACACCGTGAGGGTCCATCATCGGATGGTAACCAGGGTGATGGGAGCCCGGGCTGATGGAACCCCCGGTTCCCGGCGAATGCTGAAGGCTACCGTCGCCAGCCAGCTGTGGCAACGCGGTCATAAATTCCGCCATGGACGGTTGGCTGTTGATGAAGCCGGTTTCCGCGGTCCCGCATGTCGGATCCATGGCTGGATGATGGGTCCCGTGCGGGGGCAGCCCGGCTGGGGCACCTGCCCCCGCGGCCACCGTGGCCAGCCAGAAGCCACCCCCTCCGTCGTTCGCCAGGACGGGTGTCGTCGGCCTCGTCTTCAGGCTCTCGAGCTCCTTGTCTACGTGGACCAACGCCTCCAGGTGTCCTCCGGGTTGCTGCACGTTGCCCGAACTCCCTAGCTGCGCCGATTCCTCCGGATCCTCTTGCTGGTGCTCCAGGGGTTGTTGCTTGTCGCGCATGGAACGAGGTGGCCGCTCGTTCTCGTTTAATTCCACTCGGTGGTAGCTGGACTCGAAGAGTGTAACCATAGAATGGAGGTCGTTCCTCTTTCACCTGGGGCGTACAGTTTGCACATCGATTCCAGTTGCTCGTGCTCGCGTATCGGTCGTTGAACTCATATATTCGACTTTGGATTCGGAACTACTTTATTCGGTACAGTCTTCGAGTACTTCCGATGCAAGGAAGGTTTCGACGCAGCTCAAACGAGGTTCGATCGTGGGAAACACGCGAACACGGTTACACCTTTATCCGACATTACGCATCACCCCCCTTCCCTTCACTCTAGTTTGCATCTACACCGCGATTCGTACACCGCTGGACACTTTTCATGATCCTCAGGTTCTCAGGTTCTTAGACGGAACCCGATTCACCACATTCACCGCGTCATCTCTCCCCTAGTGTTCACTGCAGCGAAGCACGGGTCACGGGAATCTACGTGCACAGAACACACTCGTAGCCCCCGGGGAACGCACCCCGAGGTGACTGTCGCGATCGAGCACAACGCGGAAGCACTGTCACACGATCCGCGGATCGATGAAACGCGCGATGATCGGTGTACCGAGTGGTAGACCGCGGCTACCAGGAGCGTTCCGATCGGCCGGAACCCAGGCTGGCGAGGCAGGCTGGCGAGCCAGCGATCGCGATGTACGCTTGCCGAGTGATGCGGAGGAGGAGGAGGAGGTGGAGGAGGAGGCGGAGGCGAAGGTGGTGGTGGCTCGAGAAGGGCAACGGAGGAGAAAGATAGGCGTGAGAGCGGGAACAGAGGAGGGGGCGGAGGCGAAGATCGCGGCTGGTGGTGGCGGAACCGGTGAACAGGGTTGCACCAGGGACGAAGAGGAAGAGAAGGAAGAGGCGGTAGGACTCGTACCTTGGAAGGAGAAGGAGACGAGGACGGAGATGCACTCGGTGACTTCCACACGGCGGCACCCTGACGAGTTCCACCGCGGCGCTCTTTTTCGCGTCTCCAGTGTTCTCCGTGGCGTGTCTCTGTTGTTACTGCTGTCTCTCTTCCTGGTTAGGTAGGGGAGCCCCGCTCATGGTCCCGGTCGAACGGAGTAGCGATGTTGCGTTGTGGAACGGGGTGCGGGAGAGTCACGTGAGCTCCTCTAGCGGAACGCGTCGACCAATGGGGCCACGGTATCGCGGCGGCGGAGGCACAACCCTCCGGCGTCGTAGGCGGGCTGGGCTGCCGCTCCTCGGAGGGCTCGAAGGGCACACGGAACCAGCAGGGTACACCGACGGAGCCGTTGCTCGCCGCGGCAGTGCAGCCAGCCGACTCTCCTCTTCCCTGGCAGAACACGAGGCCGACTTGGGCGGTCATGGATTCCGGCGCAACTGTGGGCGGGACGCGCGAGCGCGTCGCTCTCCTGGCTTAGCCACGTGGAGGGGAATTTCTCACGTGCTCGGCCACGCGGTCCCATACACTTCCTCCGGGGGGAACGGACGGGTAAGAGGTAAAAATCTATCTCTCGATCTTCCATCGGAATCGACCCTCTCGCGGAACATATTTATGGCCCCGGCGATCGACAGATCGCGGATCTGCTGCGAGACCCGCGGCGATCGACGAGAACCAACAGTTTTATAAGGAAATATTATACAGACGGAGATTAGATTGTACCTGGATTATCCGGCAACCTGATTCCGATCGACAGTCGATCGACAGTCGCGCAGTTGGCGCACCTTTTCCTATTCCCGTCTCGCAAGGTAAACATAAAATTGAAAATAGTGACGATCAGTTTGTGCTGATGTGTGACGATAGTTATCTATACCACTTACATACACAACTTACAAAATTCACTTCCAATTGGTAATCACTAGTCGGGGTAGTAATATGTATGTGGAATATTTTGTATTATACTATATTTTGCTGTATGTTACTGTGTTACGATATGTAGAATTACATTGTATCTTGCTGCATTATGCAATTAAACTACGTATAATGCTGTATGATGCTAGAACATTCTGTATTTTGCGATAGTATACTATGATACTGGAATATTCTGTATTTTGCTGTTTTACGCCCTATAATGGTAAACTATATTGCATTTTTCAGTATTATGCATTATTTTGCTGAAGTATTTTGTAATATACTGTATACGTTGTAAACGCAATAGTTCACCCCTTAACTATGGAACCTTTATCGTAAGATTAATATTTTTATCGCGAGTATTCACCATGTTCTTTACAGTTTTGGTTGTAAAATCGGTGGTAAATGTCTCTCGAGTTAAAAGACGAAGAAAGTAACACCTTTCGCGCGGTTCAAATATTCCCTCGAACGATAACAGTTGTGGAAATCGTTTGGAATTTTACGAGAGTGACGGAACGATGCAGTAAGTTCGATAGCAGTTTACTGCGGTGGGATGTGCATCGAATGCACCGATGTGACGTCGTCGCAACGGTTTTGGGCGCTGGGGGCGCCGGCTGGTGTTACGACGACTTGCCATGGGGCAGTTTTGATGACAGATTACCCTGATCCGCTTTGTGGAGGAGCTCTCATTTAGACAGCCCGTTTGATTGAAAAGTTCGTCGACTGTTTTGCGAAACAAAAAATTCGTGCCACTACCCTCGTTGCGCGATGCACCCTAAAATGGAAGTAGACGAATTGTTTTCCCTTCTTCTCGCTCCTCGATTTCGACACACCGAAATTCCACGAATTGTCTCCCCAAAAAATTAGCTACTATCTAATAACAAACCATTGCATAGTCTATCTTTTGCTACTTCGTATCTGTTAACGAGTAGCTCTAAATAAATAAATTCTTCGATTCAGTAGATCCGCGATCACGATCCAGATCGAGAATTGGTTTGGTCGTGTTCGATCGCTGCACGGGGTTGGAGCGAAAATTTTCGGTGGAGGCTGGAAGGGCGGCGACCGACTCGCGTTGCGAACGAGGGCGCGGATGGCTCGAAGCGGAGAGCAGAGCCAAGCGAGCGAGAGATCGGGAGAGGGAGGAGAGCAGCCGCCACATCTGCCGCCAGATTTAACTATACATTACAGACACACGATATGTCAAAGTCCTATACTTCATATCGACTCCGCCATTTATTAAAAGTTTCATCGCGCGCGCACACCGTTCTGCTCCGCTCCGACCCCTTCTTTCTGGCGCGCCGTGGAAGGATATAGGAAGGATGCTCGAAATATACGAACGAAAAGTTCCAAGGAAGAATATATCGGGTGCGCGAGGGGTGTCGCGTTCGGATCGACGAGTTTCCTGCGCCTCCAGGGACATCGGGTCTCTCGAGGCTGATTTTGTCATGTCGTGAAATTTCGATCGAAAAACCTCCATTAAAATCGACCAAATCCCCCTGTAAGGATTTCTCTACAATTTTGCAGATTCGTATTACACAGATTACATCCGATTCCGATGTATAAGGAGTAGTACACGACTACAGCGTGTAACTAGTCACTTTTGAATAAGGTTTTCTTCGTGGGTCCAAAAACTTGGGACTAACAACTCGACAGCTACTGTCCTTTCCCCCAAAGGTCTGCTTTCAATGAAAAAAGATTTGACGATTTCGGAGATCCGCGTGCTCGAACTAGAGAGTCTTCGCACCTCTTATCTTATCTCGGTTAAGCTTAATACTAGAAAAATGGGATTCCTCCGAGGTCTCTTTTTCCCGCGACGATACTGGAATTTCTGTCTGTCAGTTCTCTCCTTTTCCACTCTGGCTGCCACCGATTGCGAAATGAAGTTTTATATTAAGCTTCGAGTTTCCTCTCTCCTATTCCGCGACGGTTCGTCCCTCCATCTCCCTTTCTCAGCCGCCTCTCCAACCCTCGTTTTTTGTCGACGCCTTCCTCCCACGATCCGTTCGCCCGCCCACCCTCTCGCACCCCCTTCTATATTTACGTACCGATAGATCGTTATGTCGGCGTTTGCATATATATTGACATCGCCACCCCTCCCGCGAAGATGCCTAATATATAGGCTATCGAGTGGCATAAAGAGGCTCGTGTACTCCCGCGAACCGCTCGTTCTCCATACGAGGCCCGATTCTTAAACATACGTCTTAAAGACGCAATATAAATAATATTTTCAGAATACCTTTGTTGAATATTCGACGTAACGATACTTTCACTACGTTTCTAATACGAGCCGTTCATTGCACGAATCGATTAACTCCACTTTCTGAAAAATCTTAAATTTTAGTGTCAAAGCACTTGGTGTAGTCATAACTGTTTATATTTGTAATAACTTTCCTGAATAATAAAAATTAACACCGTTAAACAACAAAATTCGTTTGGCCATTGAATAATAAATAATTTATTTCGTTTATTAATTTTATTTCACGGAGTTTATCGATTTGTGCAATGAATGGCTGATATAATAAACTACTTACCTCTCGTTGCGATCGACCAACGAAGCAGGAAACGGTGAGCAACTTACGACTTGACCAGCCAGTAAAAAAAGTACGCTGCACTAAGTCTGCGGCTGCATCCGCCATCAGAAATAAACCATCCTTCGTCGCCATTTTAGCATGGCATGGTCTCGACGAGCAGAGCTCGATCTGTCAATCACCGGATCACCGAAACGAGTCTCCGCAAGGGCGGCACTCGCCCTTCGTTCTTCCGAAACACGACGCCCCGCCGACCCTTCTCCGAACTTTTTCCTCTTCGACGTCTGAGGTAAAAGCGAACTTGTTAAAGACTCCAAATAAAATCGTCCCCCTTCCCTTCCGTGGCCACGGTAAGCGTTCGAATCGCCCTCTTCGTCCAAACTCCCAGGGATTGCCCTCTTTGTTGAGACGAACCGATATCGGCGCGTTTTAATTGCTTCTGAAAAGGGTCCCTCGCGTTTGTCGAGATTTCGACATTATGGGGGCGACCGTGTCTCAGATTTCTTTCGAGATCGAAACGCGAACGAAAATTCTTTTCGTCGTGGAATGTACCAGAACGATGAGAGCGCTTTGCGATGGCAATTTTTTCACATGTGCCAAGTCAACGATGAACAATTTTGGAAGACAGGGAATATCGTCTGACGGAAGGACGAAGACGAAGACACGGACGCAGACAGAAAGACGGAGAAGGGCCCCGTTGGAACGGGGGTGGCAGTTCTTGCGATTAGCGAGCGACTAGGGGAAGCTCGCTGCCGGAGTCTGAGGTTTTAATTAAGCATTCACTGCGGATGATATCGCATGCCTCTTTATACTTCATAGCAGCCAGATGTTGCTACGAGGACCTTCCTCGCCTTAGGTCCTCCGTACCGCGCCAGCGCGACGGAAGGAACGTCGGTATTTCGTTTTAATTATGCATGTTTAATTTGCTTATATCCTGCCCTGCGCTGTCATGCGCTGCAACTAGACGCCTCTGTTCTGGTCGTCCTTTATTTGCGACACTAGACTTCGTTCTTTCAAAGTATCTCCCTTTAGAGCAACCAATTGTTCTTGACGATATTCCTTTAACCCTTTGCAATTCAAGTAATTTGGGTATATGTATTCAAATAGTCAACACATATTGTCCTTCATTTGATTGTTTATATGAAGTTGTTTGAAAAAAATAATGGAAAACTAACGTATTTTTTAACGCTATTGCTTAAGAATATCGATCTTATAACTAATCGAATTCGGACACTCATCGTTTATTAAAACTTAATGATAAATCGTGGGCAATGACACTGGTCGTAGGAGTAGAACGCCTTCAAGTGC